GGCCGACCCGCTCACCGTCCACCTGGTCATCGCGCTGGCCTCGGTGTCCTCGCTCTTCCTCTTCTCGGTGCTGCTCTTCGTGGCGCTGCGGCTGTTCAGGAGGAGCGGGCCGGCCGCGCTGGGTCGGGGCTCGGCGCCCGAGGGCCCCTTCCCGGGCCCCCTGGGGGACGTCAGCGGCACGGGGACCCTGTCCCACAGCTACCGCTATGAGGTGTGTCTCACTGGAGGCCCTGGGACTGGTGAGTTCAAATTCCTCAAGCCTCTCTTCCCCAACCTTGTGGTTCATGACACTGGACAAGAAGTTAGAGAAAATCCCAACCTTGGGACCAGCTTTGTATTCAGCTAAGTATTGTATTTGGCTCAATGAATCTCCCATTAATTTTCACAAAGTGCCAAGTGCAATCCCTTCCTTTTAATAAATAATATTATTCTCTAAATATCCTTAGTACTGTTGAAAACCTGTGCATATCTCTGACAGCACTAAATTTGTTCCTGTTTTACTGGTATCAGTTGCACTTACCATTTTCAGTTATACTGATAAGTATGTATTTTGTCAATATTTGATCTTTTGGTGATTATCTTTCCATAACTGTAAGTAACTCACATATATAAAATTTTTATTGTAATGGACTTGTAATGGTTTTATTAAACATTTTAAAGCTTCAGTGAAACTTTGAGTATTTAAATATTCTGGTGACCCCCTCCTACTGGGAATTGAATTCAGTATTTTCCCACTGAAATCCCCAGGCGTCTTTTACTTTGTATTTTAAAACAGAGTCTTGCTGAATCACTGAATTTCCCAGGCTGGCCTCCAAAGTGCAATCCTGCTGCCTCAACCTCCCAAAGTGTCCTGGTACCTTTAGAATTTTATCAGGGACAGAGTGTTCCAAAATTTTATTATTACTTTGGCCTTTCTGGTTTATTGTTTACCAGTTTAAGGCCCCTGAGTAGCTAAGAACATAAAACCTAGCATACTTGTTTTTCCAAACTGTATATAAACATGCACTTCGTTAATATCAATACACAAAAATTGTGATGTTTTTCTTGTGGTGAGCTTCATTTATGCTAGGAATTCATTTTTTAATTGCTACCAACCTAGCACATTGTAACTGTTTCATAAATGGTTAAGATTAAATTTTTAAAATAATTATCATTAAATAGAAATTAAAGAAAATATAATTTTTCATTCATCTTACTAAATAAATCTGTTAAATCACTGCTTTATATAATCCTTTTTTAAACAAAATTTCAGAACTTGAATTATTCCCTCTGAGGGCATCATGTCTTCCTGTTCTGCCTTTTGACTTACAAATAGAAGTTCAAGTGTAGTTTACTGTGTGCATTTCTTTTGGTTTTCTAGCACCCTCTCCCCATGTTTGTAAGAGTCAGAGATTTTTTAAAAAATTAGCTGTCCTGTATAATTCTGATAATTGGTTGATCTCAGATTTTTTTACTTTTTTTAGTTGTGATAGTCCGTACCAACAAAATAATGATTTATTTGGGATACTTACTTATCTTCTATTTTGTTCTTTAATGCCACCTTCAGTCATTTTTAAATTTTTCATTCCAGTTGATATTATATCTGCCTGAAATAAGCATTTTTTTCTCTAAAGATGGAAACAGTAACGAATATCTGAATTGTAGTTGTTTTACGTTGTTTCAAAAAGCCTAGTAAACTAATTGTATGATTTCTAAATTAAATTTATATAGATGTAGCTATAAGACAGCTTCATTGAACTTTTGGCAGAATATGAGCAATTTTTAAAAGTACTTTGTAATTTAATATGTATTTGTAAATTTCAAGTCTCATTCTATTAAAGTTTAAGAAATTGTGCTTTTCCCTGCATTGCTGATTTTCCTAAATATATAATAAAATAGAAAAGACATTGACCATTTAAGTCATTTTTGAAACATAGTTTTTCAGCCTTCATTAAATTTAAAAATTGAAGTGAGAAAGAGATAAAAAGAAGAACAGAATTAAACACAAATATGCCAGATACAACCATGGCAGTCAACTTTAAAGACTTATCCATTATTTATTATCAGTTGTTTAAATGAAACAGTTATATGTGTGATGATAAATAATAATTCTGGTAGAATTTTTCACCAGTACACATCAAAATCATGAAAATGCAAGTTCACTTTTTTGTCTATGCCAGGAAAGTCCCATTTGTACAATCATGCAAGTAAGACTAGCCAAATAAACACTCAGAACCCACCTCATCCCTTTGTGTTTATGTAGTAAGGATGATTCTTTACTAGCTAGGTGCCATCACCAGATTATAGAATAGTTCAACATTTTGAAATTTAACACATTGCTGCCAACTTGAACTAATGGTGGTACATATATAACTATCCAATTGGGTGGCTTATACCACTAATGATACTAATGGATCTAATCACTTTTATCACTCTTTTTACTAATAAAATTAATATAAAATCCACCCGATGGGATAGTCATGCCTGTATCACCCATGGTTCAAGCCACCCAGCAGTAAGACATAGGAATTATGCCCCATCCTGAAAGAGTTAACTACTAAAATTTAGTAGTAGTAACCAATGATCCAAATATATTCACATGCCTTCTGAAAATAGGCCAGTTCTTTAGTTACAGAATTAAATTAGAGAATGGAGGTTAAATATCTTGATAGTGACACAAAATTCAGTGTTTTTCTCAAATTCCTCTATTATAAATGGATGTTTTATCATTTTTTGCTGTTTTTAAGCACAGCTTGTAGTAAGTTTAACACATTATTCTGAAGGCAGAAATTCTACTGAAGGCAAAGTAGCCTATGCCACTTTCAAATCCCCTTTTCTAGGATGGAGGTGTATCTTAGTGATAGAGTACTTGCCTAGCATGCACAAGGGCCTGGGTACCATACCCAGCAAAATACACACACACACACACACACACACACACACACACACAATATTTTTTAAACTGTGGAGTTAAAACTTATACAAGTGTTTGGCAGAATTCTGCTTCCAGGTTAGATCCATTATCTGGCTGCAGAAAGGAATCATAAAAATTAGCTAAAAGTCATAAATTTCTCTTTAAAGCAACAGCAAGCAGATGATCTATAAGAACTCATTGGAATAAGATTTCTGGGAAAATCCATGGACTGAGAACTGAGTCCTGTTGTCAGTTTTACCCCAAGAAATTTGCCAAGTCCAAAAACATACAACAGATTCTTAAAGTTCAGTAGCTTTTGGCAGACTGGAGCATTCAAGTTCAGGGCCAACTGTCAAACTCAGAGAAGCCCAGGGAAGACCAAAAATCTCATCTACTTGAAAATTCTTGAAAATCAGAGTAAACTTTTTCTTGTTTTAGAAAGGTTAGAGTTTTAGAACCTGCCAGAGGGCTGTAGCAGATAGCCCCTGTTCTCAACTGAAAATTCCACAGGGCTAGATGCATATCAGGACTGCAAAGAACCTTAACTAAGCATAGTGCCTGTTTCAACTAAGGTGACTTGATTTTGTATGGCTGTATTAAGCTAATAGAGGAAAGAGTGAACTATTCCTGAATGAAGATAATATCATCTTGATTCTGGACAACTTTTTACATAAATATTTGCCATTCAGTAAAAACATTACTAGGAATGCACAAGAAAATTTGGGTGACAGAATAAAACCAAGGGAAAGAAACAATTTAAATAATTTATAGATGATCTACATATTAGAATTAACAAAGATGTTAAAATAAATATGATGAATACATTAAAAATAAAGAACAATTGAAAATAGATAAAAAGATAATTTTACCACAGAATTGAAATTTTTAAAATAATTCTGTAACTAAAAATATAACATTGGATATAAAAAATATTTAAATCTTTTAATAGCATAGGTGTGAGTGCAAGATTAGTAGAAGCAAAACAGGTCAATATAAATGTCAAAATAGAAAAGAGAAATATATATATATATATATATACATATACATATACATACACATACATACAATGGACTCTTGACTTATAAACTCTATCAGTTCCTGAATGCTGGTTGTAAGTCAAGTTGGTTGTAAGTCAATAGAGCTGAGTTTTGGATGTTTGCCTGGGTACACGCTATAGATAACAAGAGGGAGATGAATCTTCCAGTAACTTAATTAAACCAAGTTGTTTGTATGTCAGGCTGATTGTAACTTGGGGGTCCACTGTACAAAAGGACTTGACTTATGAACTCAATTTGTTTCATGAGGGCTGGTTGTAACTCAAGTTGGTTGTAATTCAAGACTGTTTTTTCCCCATAAGAAATAATCGAAATACCCATAATGCATTCTGAACCTCTCAAAGCACCCCTTAACTAACCATTTCATAATAAAAAAGATTGTATAATGTATGTAATTTACCAGAAATTCCAATAATTTTCTTAGTGTATTTGTCAAAAAAATTATAAAATGTCCCCAGTTTATCAGAAACAATTTCATTCTGTACTCAACACTCAAGTTGACATCTTTGGCTTCCAGGAAGGGAGAATGAAGTGGAAGGTGGTTATTGTTTAGAGTCCCCTTCCATAAAAATCAGGCATCAGGAATCAGGCTCTCTGGTGTCCTTTCTTTCCTTGGGAGAGTTGGTAGCCCACTAGGAACCGCTTCTGGCTCACCAGGTCTCAACCTTTTCAGAACTAAAAACTGGTCTAAGGTTGTGTGTTTCTGTCTTTTCTTTAACACTGTTCTGTAGTATATGACATTGTCTTTAACAAGCGAATGCAATGATTGGCTTTTTCTCTGGATGGATCTTCTTTACAAATGTTTGTAGCTCTGCCTATTTTATAGGATATCCTTTATTTTAGAAGAACTTTGCTGCACTGATTGTTGATTCTTCGGCTCCTCTTCAGAAAGCTCTTCAGCTGCCAGCCTCTGTTGCTCAGCCAAAAGTTGCTGAAGTTCCTCTGTAGACAATTCCTCTGAATGTTCCTCCACCAGTTCCTCAACATCACCACATCTACCTGCAAGCCTATGGACTCTGCTATAGTGACACTGTCATCAACCACAGGGTCAATTGAAGGATCAGGCTCTTCTACACAGCCTTCAAAGTCTCTCTCCTGTATAACTTTAGGTCATACTTTCTACAGGCACCTCTCAGTGTGCTTAGAGAGACATTGGCCCAGGATTTCTCAACCCCACATATGAAAGGATGTTGTAATGTTCCTTCCAGAACTCTTTAAGAGTTAAATCTGTATCTGAGACTATCTGGAAGCACTTCAGGAACAATTCCTAGGTGTATAGGTTCTTAAAGTTAGCTATAACCTGTTGATCCATAGGTTACATACAGTAGAGGAGTTTTATTAGGTGGGAGGAACTCAAGGGAGAACCATGGGAATTCTTTAGCCAGTTCTTCTTCCAAATCTTATGGGTGACCAGGATCATTGTCCATGGTGAGGAGAGCCTGGAGTGCTAAACCTTTGTCCTCTAGATATTTCTTAGCAGTAGGATAGAAAGCCTCCCTGATCCATTCAAGAAAAAGTACTCTTGTTACCAAGGCTCTTGGGTTAGCTCTCCATATGACCCCTATCCTATTCTTCATGACTATGTTTTCTGTATACTCTGGGGGTCTCAGAGGGATAAAACAAGAGAGGCTTTCACTTGAGGTCACCCCTTGAATTGGCACATAGCAATAAGTTCAGCCTATCCTTCATAGGCTTGTGGTCTGGCATTTTCTTCTCTTTTTGGGTAATGTATGTTCTCTTGGGCATTTTCTTCCAGAAAAGACCAGTTTCATCACAGTTGAAAACTTGATGAGAGCAAAAGCTGTTTCTCTGTGTCCCTAACTGTAACCCTAACTGTGCCTCTATAACCATGGGTGCACATTTATCACTGTGGTATGATTCTTATAATTCTTTTGGGAAGATACCCAGTAGGGGAATAGCTGGGTCAAATGGGACCTCTAGCCTAGTTCTTTGAGGTATCTCCATACTGATTTCCACAATGGTTGCATCAATCTGCACTCCCACAAACAATGAAGAAGGGTTCCTTTCTCCCCACACCCCTGCCAGCATTAGTTATTGGTTGATTTCTTGATAGCAGCCATTCTTTGTGGGGTGAGGTGGAATCTCAGTGTTGTTTCCATCTCTCGAATGACCAGTG